CCCCGGACCGGGATTTGAACCGGTGACCTTCTTGCTGAGAGGCATCAGCTCTACCAACTGAGCCACCGTGCCGCCTAGATAAAACTATGAAAGTGAAAATAAAATTGGTTTAAAAAGTTGGCAAGTCAGAGATGTCAAAATAATATTTGTGTCAAATAACAGGCATAATGTGTTCTTTTTGTTTTTGATATTGTTTAATTGTCACTTTTATAGGGTTCTGTATGTTGTATTCATGATTAAATGCAGCAAAATAAACTATTTCAAATGTATCAGATCTTTGTAATACTTGTTTTATTTACATAATGACTTTAATTGCTGGATGTTGGGCCACTCAGCTGTTGGCCTGCAGTAACTGTGGCCCCCGGAGCAGTTTAGTCGAATAGCCCTGGTCTAATAAATTAGATCACACAGTAAGACATTACTAACGATATTGATGGAAATAAAGGCAAACACAAAGAAGACCAGAGGCGGGAAAAAGAGCATTTATCAAAATCTGTGACGTCAGTGAAACTGTATTTTGCTTTTGTATGAGCTCTACTTTCTGTCATCAGCTGTTCAGAGATCAGCTGCTTAAACAGAGGAAAATACTCATGAGATTATTAAAGTCAAGTCCAAGTTTTTCATTGTGATTGTGATAGTGGTCATTTATATTTACTGAATATTACAGCTGGTTATCTTATATTGGTAACAATAATGTTATACTTTTTAAGGGTTGTATATTTTTATTTAATGTGAAGGCAGAACTCAACTGTGCAAGACTGGATCAAAACAGCATAATCTATTCCTTTTCTTCAAAAAATAAAATCGTAATATACTGAATTTGATTGAACTGATGGTTTGTAATTGGATTTGTTTTGAACCAGATTTGATTGCGTAAGCAGAAATTTGAGATGGGATTATAAATTTTTGTACAGTGCCCTGCCTGAGATGAGTTTTGTTACGATTGAAAAACGTTGACAAAACAGCAAATTCAAGCAAAGCCCCTTTACAAGCACTAACCATGCTTCCTTCATTGTTTCCAACCATAGTGTTGTAGCTGGCTGTCAAACGTTTCAGCTCTGTGACCTCAAAGGTCACGTCAAGCCCATTAGGAAGAGCGTCTTCACCTGCAGACACAAGAAATCACACAAAGAAAAGAAGAAAGGAAAGTGTGAATAAATTTGAGGCATAGCTACATTCTCCCTATGTTCCTGGTAGTACCTCGAGAGGTGTCGATGACAACTTCAACCTTTCTGAAGATGCCAAGACGCAGCAGTCTCTTACGAGCTTCATGGGACTTTTGCATCACCTGTATAAAAAAATGTAACATTGTGTTGATGGTTCACATTGAACAAGCACAAAAAACACAGTTTAAAAAGCATGTACTTACATCAATCAAGTTTTTTGCCCGGAACACTTCTGCAATTTCATAAGTCAGAAAATCCTCCTTAGTTCTGCCGAGTCCATCTATGTGAACTTGCTGAACTACAACCTAATAAAAAAATTATGAGCATAAAAACATTTCAAAAGACAAAAATAAAATCCAACTATGAGGGGATCCAGAACAAAACTAATTAATAAGAACAGGGGAATTCATTATTTCTAACAATGCATTCCTCACATCTCTGTTTTCAAGAACTTCCTGTTTGGGCTCCGGCTCGATCTCTATGGCTTCAATGTCATCTGCTTGAATTCCCAACTCTGGCCCCTGCATGGGTAGAGGGTCCAGACTCTACAAAAGCAAACAGTGAAGACAAAAAAAGAAAGCTCAGAATTATACTGTGCTGCTCAGTGTTTTTACAAACATGATGAATGAAAACTGATTCAAGTTTAAGGAGAAGAAGTACTAAGGAACAGAGCATTACACTATTAATAGATATTAAGCAAAATGACACACTCCTGGCAATATATATTGGGACAATTATAATGTTGAGATGAAAAAAGTGGGTAAATTATATGTATGCCTGCAAAACTATAACTCAGAAGCAGTTAGGGATAAACTCATTCACTTCAAAAGGTATTTTACTTTGTAAAATAAAGCACAGAGCTTTACAGTACATTTGATACAGTACATTTGTGCAGTTATGTTTCAACCTTGGACAAGATAAACAACCAAAACCTAGTAGGTACTGAGTGAGCGAAGTGCAGCATGACAGAGGAGGAAAAGGCAACATTAATGACTCATCTGTTAATGTTTACGTCACGACTTTTCATTCTTTAGTTGTAGTGTTGTTACTACAGCACACATTGTTGTTGGGCCTGTATCTCACAGTCCTGTCAGATAACTCACTCAGTCAGAGAGGTCAGAGTCGCCACAGCGAACACAACAGGTCGGGTTCTTACCCTGGCATGGACGGTGCCCATGCTGAGCTCCACAGGCCGCTGTCCCGACAACAAGAGGCAAACGTTTGCTCGGAAAATCACAAACTACTTTTATTACTTTAACCTCCAAGTAACCGAAGAGCGGCGAGGAGGACTTGCTGCTTGAGTCGGGCCCCGTAAAAGGAGGCGGTGACGTCACTTCCTGAACACGCCCTTGGCCTGTGAGCGTTCAATACAACAACGCTGCAAAAAGGCATATTAGTTGTTGGATTCGGAGTAGAGCCACTGAAAGAATAATATATATATATTACTTTAATCTGAATTCTAGGAAAAAGACACAATTCTGAGATTAAAGACAGAATTATTTTCTTTCCAGTGTATCTCAGTGTGGCGTTAATAAACCAAAATGATCAGCTCATCCAACAGATGAGGTTTTTCATTTCTTTATTTAAAAATACTTCATTTTTTTTCCTAAAAAAATACGCTTCCTTGTTAATTATGCTTCAGTATGGAAGCCCATTTCCGCCACCGTGATAAAAAAATAAATAAAACTTGTATCTCATAATTATGACTTAGCTATCTCATAATTATGAGATAGTATCTCATAATAATGAGATAGCTAAGTCATAATAATGAGATAGCTAAGTCATAATAATGAGAT